GTTTGTAAACTGCTGATTCCAGTTCGGTGCTGATATGTCAAGTTCACTTCCGGGTGTAGCAATTATTCTTCTGGCACAAACAGTCAGTTCTTTGATGCCGTATAATTTAACAGAACCCTAGGGAAAGAGAAAGCCTCTATTTAAATTGAATACTAAGGGTAAACCTTTACCAAGTTGATCAATAGCTGTCGTCAACTATGTCCCTAGCGACCTTACGATCCGGCTACGTGACCGCAAAGAATTTTTAAAAAAGTGTGAGTGTACTTAGCCTGAGAAAGAAGCCGACATTTCGCGACGCCACCACAGATTTTCCCGCGAAATGATTTCTAAGAAACGAGGGGAGAAATTCCAGATCTGGGCAGTGTGCTGAAAATTTGGGGCTGTTTTCTACAGCTGGAGTGGACGTGAAAAGTATTTGTTTTGCTCACTAAACCTTTTGTATCTTAGAGATTGCGCTCCATCGCTATCGCATTTTAGAAAAGTCCCTGAACAAAAATTTGGTAAGTTGACGTAGAACATCCGGAGGAGAACAAAACGAGAAAGGGATATCTCAAAGAGGCAGAGAGAACTTAGACCTTTTATGAAAAATAGCTTGTAAGAGGTCTGCAAGTTTTGTGTTTAAAGTTCAAATAAATTGATGTTGATTTTAAAACAGCTTCCTCTAAAACGTTTACTGTTTATAGCAGGTCAAAAGATTCTAAAAATATTGATGTAATATATCAAAGCATCGACAAAGCGTTTGATCACCAGATGAAACACCTCGAAATTCGTCAAAAATACTCTGCCGCGAGTCGTATTTTCAACTCTCTTCTCAGTGTATCATCTGGTGATAAAACATTGTGTCTCATGCTTAATATATTTTATCAATATTTTTAGAATTGTTTGACCTGCTATAAACAATACACGTTTTGACCAAAAACTAGACACTAGATTTTGACCAAAACTTCAAAGTACAAAAGTGGCCAGCAGATTCCCCTTCTCTAGTTTTGAAAATAACGTTTCAGTTATTCCGCAAGATATTTTTCAGGCACAGACCAGCAGTTCATGTTGACCTAAAGCGTGATAGTTCCTAGGAACCGGCTTTTTTCCAGCTTTGAGACTCACCTCAACGTATAAGGAGTCGGTCTGAATTTCCACCTTTGAAATGAACCGCATTTCCTGCCTAGCTCGGCTAAAGTCGTAGTTAAGTCCTTGTTTTTTTTCTAATTGTTCTTTTACATACTTCAGATGAACGACTCTTCCAAGAATACGATATTTTCCTAAAAGAAGAGAATATAATTGTTTTTTTTAAAGCCCTGATGAGGGTGAATGAAAGTAATAAGACCATCAAGTTCTCGAAAGCCACAGCTATCGAGAACTCCGGGCTTATTGAGCCTTATAGAGCACCTAACGGCTTAGGAAAAATGAAGTCTAATAAAGGACATTTATTAAGAGCCGTAACGTCATTTTTAAAATGATGTCCAAGAAAACTGAATCGGCGACATGGATTTAAGAACATGAAAGAGTTCATGGAATTTTGATCGACAACTGAGTCAGTAGGGAGACATCGTTCTTCAAGCTTAAATCAGATTCACATTTTTCCCATGATTTTCGATTCAACAAGCTCATATCTCGGTACTTTCCCTTTTGAATTAAAGGATATAATGCGCCTTATGTTTTTGTTATCTTACCGGCTTCCATTTCCAGTAACGATGGAATATGAATCCAACTCATCTGTGGGACTTTTGGTGTTACCTCTTTAGATGAATTGCCGAGTGCCGTCTGCGCACATCCGTTATTGATAGTCACCTTACTGAATACTGTAGACGAAAAGCAAAAACGAAGGAAAGCAACTGTAAATTTTATAGCCTGCGTCACAGAGGAATTTAAACCTTTGGTTAAGTCCGCCTGCGAGCCAGCGCCAAAATGTTTGTTCTGCGCCCCCACCAGTGTATCAGGAATTGAGTACGCGCCATGATTTCTGTGTTAAAATATGCACTGGAGTCCATTATTGGCCCATAATAAGGATATCCGCCCTGCTTAACAGACGTTACTACGGCGGGATTAGATTACGCCTGTAACGCAGGCTATCAATATACAGCAAAATTCCATTAGATGATCTTGAAATAGAAACAAGCAATGAGGGAGAGAAAATCTTAAAAATTAATTAATTTTGCTCTCTCCTTCTGCGTTCACCTACACTAAAGCACACAGCATCCCCAAGAGAAAACAAAGTAAAGGAAAATGAAAAATTTATTTGTAGAATCTTTGGCGTTAATTTGTTTATTTTTTGTTCATTTATTTGTTTTGATTTTACTACATTACCTTTGAACAAACATCAATCGAGGACAACAATTTTACTTTGCTCTTTAATAATTGTAAAACCCAATTATAAAATGAAAGTTTTGTTCAGCCCATTTGGTTATATTACCTGGAAAGTTAATGATAATTGAATAAGAAATAAAAAAATGTCAAAACATACCCTTAGGTAAGAAATTGGATGAGCTGATAAGGGCAAAAACCACGAAAGAAGTACTTAACCAATTCTTCATTTTTTGTCACGTCCTGTAAACTGCAACACTTTCTTTCCGGCTGAGAAGCCCGTAATTGAAATATTTTCGCATTTCTTATTTATAAGCTACCACTATGTTGGAAAACGAGATTACAACAGCGGAAAGAATACCTGCAGTGATATAATGAAGCACCTAGTTTGGAAGGAACAATGAGGGATGTTTGTTTGTTTAAATCACTGCTTAATTTCACTTTAAGTAACGTTATGATGGGGGACTTCAAGGGGATACCGCGGTTACAATCAAAATTAAATGTTTTGTTCGGTAGGGGGTAATTAAGTCAATTTGATTAATAAAGTGAACAGTGAAAGATTGACATATTGCACGAAATAGTCATTACAATTTTTTAACACAATTAGCCCTATGCTCACGGTAAGAATTTTCTTTTGACATATATTTTATCATAATTACCCCAATGACAGACCGGGAATTTACCTCCTACGTTGACAAGTTGTACTAAATCAGCTTAAATGGGATGATGCCCAATTCTAGCCATTTTATATCGTAATAAGGAAACAAAAATATAAATGTTGTCACTTCAGCCTAACCCCAAGTACTTTGTTTGTCTTGTTTATCAATTTGTTTACTCATTTTTAGCTTTTACTGTAAACTTGAAACTCTACGAGTGAATCAACGTTGTTTGAGAGTAAAAGGCTCTGGGTATTTTTTGCCAGGTGGAAAGCTCTGATTTCTAATGAGGTTTGAAAATTAAAGACAAAGCAACTGGTCAAGCAGAAAAAGTTATTGTCATAACTAGATTGAGTCTCAAAGGTGTTTCTATAAACGGACTCTTGTCGGATTGTTAAATGGTAATATGAACGAGTGGTTGTCGTATGAGGACATGGTCACCTGATTGACTTAAGGCTTGGTGAACGTTATTCTTGTCCTATTAGACGGTTGGTCGTATTGAAGGGGTGATAATACTAGCAAAGTCGTGGAATAAACACGGTGAAATATTTTCGCGCTTCCAATGAGTGCTGTGATTGATGGAGCGGTCATGTGAACAGATATTTTATAACGAGGTTTAAAGAAGAAATGACTTATATGTTCCGATGCTATAACAAACTAACAGAAAAGTGTAACAGTGTTGCAGCTAACCTATGAGAGTTCACTTCTGTTTATAACATCGCAAGTACTCCGCTAAAGCATGTAGCGCTATAACGCTATGAGCAAATGTGTTTGAGCCGGCACCATAGGAAGCCAAGCCAAAAAAAAAACACAAACAAACAAACGAACAAACAACAAAAACAACAAAAAAATATTGGAGCAGAATAAAACCTCGATCTTATAGAACAGGAAACAAGGGAAAAAGGGAACAGGGGAACGAGGGAAGCAAGGTAAACAAGGGGAGCAGGGGACGAAGAGGAAAAAAGAGAACAAGGGAATAGGGGAGCTAGAAAACAAGGGAAACAGGGTAACAAGGGAAACAAGGGAAAAAGGGAAACAAGAGGGACAAGAAAAACAGTGGAACAAGGGGAAGAGGAAAACAAGGAAACAAGGGAAACAGGGAAATAATGAGAACAAGGCAACGGGGGGGAAAAGGTAGGGAACAGGCGAACAAATAAAAACAGGGGAACAATGGGAACAAGGTAAACAAGGGGGGAAATGGGAACCAGCAAACAAAGGGAACAGGGGAACTGGAGAATAGGGGAACAAGGGAATAGGGAAACAGGGGAAACAGGGCAACAAGGGGAAAGGGGAAACAGGGGGAAGAAGAGGAACAGGGAAATAGGGGAACAAGAGGAAGAAGGTAACAGGGGGAACAGGGGAACAAAGAAAAAAGGGGGACTAAAGGAACAGGGTAACAAGAGGAACCAGGGGACAGGGTAGCAAGGGGAGCAAGGGATGCAGGGGAATAAGGGAATAAGAGAAAAGGGGAATAAGGGAAACAGGGAAAAGAGGGGAACAAGGGGAAGAGAAGAATATGGGAGGATTTATTATAAGCCAATATTTCGGCTAACACAATTAGCCATTCTCAGGGCCAGAGCTATACCGAAGGAACCGAAGGAAAGAACATTGAACTGTTTCTATTTCTATAATAAATCAGCCCTTTGCCGTAGTGCCAGCCCTGCAGTTTTGTTTTAAAGTAACTGGGGAACAAGGTAAATAATGGGAAGGGGGTAAATATACAAGCCTTTATTTTTTTTTGGAAGCGATATCATGGGGAGGGCATTTGGAAAATGGTTGACCCACAGGGTCGTATAAATCGATTGCGAAAAATGTTAGTAAGACGGACCTCCTTGACTGGACCAGTATGCGGCACTCAATACTGTCCGGTCAAAAAGACACCATATGTCTTGATAACGATCTTTCTATTAATTCTGCACCATTATTTAAAATCAACAAAGACGTATTTGAACAAGGGGAACAAGGGACAGGGGAACAAGGGGAACAAGGGAAACAAGAGGAACAGTGGACCAAGGGGGAGAGGGGAACAGGCGAATATGGGTATAGGGGAACAAGGAGAACAAGACAACAGCTTATTTTTATTTTTAGTTTTTGTGTCGCCAATTTCCATCCGGGGGGGTAAATCAATTAAGGCTTGTGTAAGTAAGTATCCAGCCCTCCAAAATTTAGATGTAATGACACCATCCTCGGAGACCCAGGGGCAGATAGTGGGGGCGAGGGAAAGTCTAAACAGGGGGGAAAATATGGCACAAAAGAAAAGTAAAGAACGGCCGGAAGAGCCCCTGGGGACAATGTCTTACCAGACCAGTTCCAAACGGTCGCCGCCGTTCTGGCCTCTGAAAAGTTGTGTTTCTCTGGCACCAATCAGATGCCAGAACGACGGCGACCGTTTAGAACTGGTCTGGTAAGACGTTGTCCCCAGGGGCCCTTATCGCCGTTCTTTACTTTTCTTCGTGCCTTATTTTTCCACCCGTTTAGACTTTCCCTCGCCCCCACTATCTGCCCCTGGGTCTCCGAGGATGTAATGACACATACTCTTACAATTACTTTTTTTTTTAGTCTTGATATTTTCCCTGTTTCTCTCTCTCTCTCTCTCTCTCTCTCTCTCTCTCTCTCTCTCTCTCTCTCTAGAGGAAAAGTAGGGCACTTTTGTTACTTCTTTCCCTTTTGATAATAGCATTGTCAATTTAAAGTGGTAACTCGTGAAACTTAAACTATACACAGTTCACTTAAAGTAACATACGCATGTAAAAAGACAAATTCGAGCGTTAAAACAGAAGAGAAAAAGCTGCAAAGATGTCACAAAAAGGTTACAAAAGGGCCCTACATCGTGGTAGGTGCTTTTTAAAATGCTTTTCACACCTTTTTTGCATTTAATTGTAGCTATTACTTTACCATTTATACTCCATACGATTCCCTCGCTGACCACAACACTTTAAACTGGAGATATCGAGGCCGGGAAAAAAACGCCGTGAACATGTTTGACTTTTCATGTCCATGAAAGGAATCACGATTCGGAAAAAGCCCATTTTTGAAATGGAAAGTTTCAAAACGTCAGTGTGACCTTTTGAACCAATCAGCATCCGCAAAATTGTGGTGGAAGTTTAGTTAAGTCTATTGTTAATCTAATAAGCGAAACACAAAGTGAAATGGTCGTTTCCTTATTTTTTGGTGATTTTTTAAAGTTACTGATATCTCGAAAGTGGCCCCGTTACGAAAGTTCCCTTTTTGCTAGAAGTTCCAGCAAGCAATTTTACCGTAATTTGTAAGAGATAAAAATCAAAAAAGCAATCAATCTAAACACCACTAAAGTAGAAGTAAGTGGGCGAAAATAAAGGTCCTTCCTTCAAAAAGTAAGGCGCTGGGCCAGCGGAAAGGTGTTCTAACCCCTTTTACGCATTTTGCGCTATTGGGTATACGGGTATATTGTTTGCGCAATTACAAGTAAATGCGTGAGTCCTTTCCATCGATGAATTATGACGTTGTTAAGCATGATGGAAATAATTTTAATCAAGAAAAAAATCATGTGTGGTCACTGGTGTCAAACATGCATAATGGAAAGTTATTCAATTTCAGCGCTTCTCTAAAGGCCCCGCCTTTATTGCGTAGTCAAATAGACTACACGTTAAGGATCATTAAGGCTGGGCTCCAGAACCATTTGAGCTTCTACTTTAAGCCGCATGAATCTATCAAACGGGACAACGGTGGACAACGAGTTCTTTTATTTCAACGCAGGACACGGCATTGAGGGCACAGCGATAAGCAAGACAAAGTAGTACACAGCATTCCCGTAAGTCTTCATCGTCGTTGACAACGCTCATCATGGCCTATTCCGTTCATCTCGCAGATGGTCGCACTTACCAGAAATCTCTTTGTTTTTCTTAACTCTGCTTTGTAGAGAAATTTTCAAAATGAAATTTAATGTAGGTGAGAACAGACGAATTTCCAGATCGGCTTCGCTTTAGACAAGAAGGGGGTTGGTTCCAAAATGCTAACCAATTCTTAATGGAAGATATGACTAAAAGATACTTGCAGTGAATAAGCCTTTAGACTTCTTACTTATGATGAAATATTATTGAGTATGCGACACGACTTAGTCGATCGCAGAGCTAAATTTTACCACTCATATTTGCCTTTTCCAACAAAAAGCGACGGTAGTAACGGATCACGCACAGTGAAGAAAATTGAGCATGAGGGTTTATCGGTACTCTGTACGTCAGGTAAGGGTGAGTCACTTTTTTATAGGTTTTCTTTTGGTAAAAACAAGTACCATTTCAATGATCAACTAAAATTTCTAGAGAGGACAACACTTATTTTCTTCTCTCCACATTAGTACGCGGCTGCTGACACTAAAATAGGCAAAATGGTAGATTCGAATTCATTGCAATGTTTAATTTCAGCTGTGTAACAACAACAAAGGCTAATAAAACTTTACAACGAGAACACCCGTTGGTAAAGATTACGAGTACAAATATGGTAGATGCATATGCAACATCGCACGCCCCTTGGATTTTTGCTGTTGTAAAGTATAAAAATAACAACCAAATGCGCGGAACATCACATCATCATCATCATCACTATCACATCACTTTTTATTGGGATCAGAGTAGAAAGCACTGCGAGTGGAAAATCAAAGAGACGGTAGCGAAAATAAATCTCCGCCGCCTTGATTATGAATTAAAGTTATTCACTCCTCAAACTGACCTGTGTAGAACTGATTTGCCTAGTGTGAAAATGGATCACGCGATACATACAGCAATGTAGGCTATGCAGTGTGCTCACAGTCAGACAGCGGTGTCTACCAATTCGCACAGCTTCGTCGATCAACACGTGCTTTTTGCATCGCCGATCTTACAGTCTGATTAGTTCCGTAATAAATTTAAAGTACGTCCAGTGACGATTTTTTAAGGTAAGTTTGGTTTAATTTGTTTTTCACTCCCATAAAATGTAAAGAAGATATCTGCACATCACAAAATGGCATCAACGCCAGTGAGCATATTATTGTATTAAAGACTTTATAAGCTTTACATGTACGCATACAACGGGAGAGATTTAAAAGAAAGCATGTTTCAGGAAGCTGCGTACCGTCATGCGCGAAAAACCGCAACAAAAAATAAGCCATGATCCTGAGAAAGAAAGCCAAGAAATTGAATCATGCTCAAAGATCTCCGCCGAGGAGGAGTGTCAGTCCACGACGTCAAAAGTAACCTGGACGGCTGAAAGGAAAGCTGTCTTGCGGACTGTCTTTCAAGAGGAGATTAACCAAAAGGAGGTCACCATGGAGGCTGTGAGGTCAAAGATATCTAATCATGCTGAACTCAAGGACGAAGATCCTAAAAGGGTACTTGACAAAGTGCGCTCACAGTGGAGGTATGCAAAACAATCTTCTACTGAAATTGTGAGTCCCCCTTCGGAGCAGGAAACGTTACAACAACGTGTCCAGAGATCACTGGAAGAGGACGCAAACAGTGACATAATTCCACCAACAGCAACAAGCAGCGTAAAGAATATGTTTTCCTCTTCTGACAAGGAAAACATACAGGAAGTTTTTCGTGACATGATTGAGAAAAATGCCCCAATATGTAAAACCAGAATTAAGGAGCTTCTTCAAAAGGAAAGTTGGGGTAGAAGTATCTTAAAGAAAGCCTCCTTAGACACTGTACTTAATCGAGTAAAATATGAAAGACGTCTTTACAAAAATTCAAAAAACGTCTAAAGTTAATTGACAGTATGATTGTCAATAATTCAGTGAAAATGAACACATCAAATGAACATCTCTCCTAACCCATGCTTTAATCTGCGAAAACCAGTGTAGATATAATTTCTGTATACCCAGGGCTGGTGAGGGGGAAATGAGCTTATTTGAGCTTGCATTTTGGCGATGCAGGTGTATTTACTTTATTCCTGTTAAAACAGCGATTTTAATGAGTAGGAATAAATGTTACCAAAGTTCCTCACTTTGTTACAAAAGAGCCCGATCTGGGTTTTTGGGAGTAGCGTACACACATACAGAACAAACTAACGGTCTTTCTTAGGGTGTTTAGTCACATAAACAAGTTTAATTTTGATTTCGACAATATTACCAACCTACTCAAATCCGTTGGCTTTGAATAGGAACATTTTAAATATTGTACCGCTAACGTTCGGGATAGCGTGGAAACCATTTAGAGGGGTCTTATCGTGGTTTATCTTCAGCCCGCTTTCAAGTGCACCTTTTTATTGATTTACAAAGAACCGGCTCTTCAATTTATTAAAAAACACGAATAACCTGTTAGAAACAATGGTGATAGCACACAGGGTTTACTGTTACTCTGGTTATTGTTCTAGTTTTAGGAGTTGAAATCATGCGTGGATCCATTTGCAGCGTACGCGTACGACTATCGCATTTGTCCGTTGAAGTATTTTTTGGTTGTTGTTCTTTTTATGCTTTACAACAACAAAAAAAAACCGTAAGGGGCGGGCGATGTTACAAATGAATGACCATATGTGTACCGGCGTAATGTTTACTAACGAGCGTTTTTTAATATAGGAAAGGTCTCGTTGTAAACGTTTTTTAAACTCTTTTGATCTCTTGAAGTTGAGTTATTTTTAAACTTTTATTAGTCTTTGTTGTTGTTACAGTTAATTTGATCCAAATACACTCTTTTTTATATAAGAATGTTGTTTTCCCGGCACGGGCTGAATGTTTTTATTTTACTGTCTATTTAAGGTTGAAAATATTCTTGAACTATTCTTAAATTATAGCTTATGGTATTCCCATTTTAGAATGTATTGAGGTTTCAATTACCAGTGTTCTTTGTTTAGATCTGTTGGAAATTGATAATTTTATACGGTTAAGTTAAAGACATATGACTGTACTGTACAGGTATTTACAGATTTTTCAACATCAAATTTAGTCCTTTTCAAATTCTCAGCCTGGGGTTTATTCTTAAAATTTCGCAATTTTGCCTTGATACTCTCATAAAAGATATTCTTATAGGATAAAAAAGAGTGTAAAGGAGAATGTTAATTTAGGAGAAGTCTTGAATTTGGGTTTTTTGTAGACTTATATTAGTCGTTGTTATTGTTACACTTAATCTAGTCTGATCCTATTAATGGGAAATGCTCATGTGAAGCCTTGAACTTTTATTAGCCTTTGTTGTTACACAGGTGAAATTAAACAATGACATTACGATGAATTCGCCCAAATCTATCATCAGCCTATTTTCAAGTGTACAGAACGACATCACAATATAAGCTTTTCAAGCTTCGCGCGCTCTAAGTCAAGTCATTGTTTATTATATAAAGACAGTAGTCGCCACACTAAGGTCAGTAAATAATTATCAGCCATTTGGGAATTTCGTTTTCCAAGTGAACCCAACCCATGTTTCAAATTCCGCAAAAATGGCGATATATTTACTGTATACCCAGGTTTGGTGGGCGGAAAGAAGAAGGATGCCGGAATTTTCTCATTGTTAGTGAAAGTAAGGTAAAAAACCGACTACTCTGGAGTAAGAAGGGAGAAGTTAGAGCTAACTTTTTTTTCGAACGGGCCGGCGTTGCGCCCCATACAGTTCCATGTAGCATATTCTACCCCTGATCCTAGTTTTTAAAGTAACTTCTTTTTTGAACTGGCCGGCGGCGCGCCCCATACAGTTCCATGTACGATATTCTACTCGTACTAGCTTGAACCTAATTTTAAAATGACAACTCTTATTTAACTTGCTTGTCGTAAGAAAGGCTATTAACTTTCGTAGGACGGCGCACCGGCGGACATTTCAAAAGCGACTCAAACATATTGCCAGAAGAATGTATCAATGTAAGGCTACATAAGGCTATATAGAAAACCAGCCTTTTTAGACTATAAAAACATCAATTGAAAAAAGTCGAAAAATTGACATTTTCCCAAAGAGATTAGTCCATGGTTTTGGTAAAAATTATGAATTTCTTCTTCTTTTCTTTTTAGGCCAAATAGGCTAAGAAAAAGTGTTTCGTATTGTTCTAGATAGAAAACCAGTCTTTTTAGACTATAGAAACATCCATTTAAAAAAGTCGAAAAATTGACGGTTTTCCAAAGGGGTTAGTCCATCGTTTTGGTCAAAGTTTTGAAATTTCTTCGTCTTTCCTTTAAGGCGAAATAGGCTAAGAAAAGGTGTTTCGTATCGTTGTAGATAGAAAACCAGCCTTTTTAGATTATAAAAACATCAAGATGTTCGGATATGTACGGCCATGCACGGCCATGCACGGCTACGTTAGCCATGTACGGTCATGCACGGCCATGTACGGCTATGTACGGCCACGCAAAGGCTATATAGGGCTATGCACGACTATATACAACAATGCACAGCTATGCACGGCCATGCACGACTATGCACGGTTATGTACGTCTATGTATGGATATACACGGCTATGAACGCGGCTACGTACGGCCGTGAACGGCCATGTACGGCTATGTTCGGCGCGCCTCATATTGCCCCTTCCTGTTACATGTAACATATTCTACTTGTGATTACTAGCTTGAACTTCATTTTACACAGGTAAAATAAATCAATCACATCACGATAAATCAGTATCTATCATTATGCCCATTTTTTTAAAGTGCACGAACCGAGAGCGCAATATTAGCATTTAAGCTTCGGGCGCTCTGAGTCAAGTCATTGTTTATGTAAAGAAAGCAGTCGCTAAGCTAAACTCAGCAAAAGAAAAAAAAAAACACAGGCACACAGTCACACGTCTAATTCTTTTTTATTAGCCATTTGGCAATTTTGATTTCAAAGTGAACCCATGCAACGGCATGTTTTCATTTTCAGTTTGCAAAAATCATAATACATTCTTACTGTATATCCAGGTGATAATATTTACTTTATTCTTGGCACATAGTGAGGGAATGACGAAAAAAAGATGATTTGAATGAATAGAAATGGGTGTTACCAAAGTTCCTCATTTTGTTACAAAAGTGCCTGATCTGTTACGAAAGTGCCCGATTTGTTACGAAAGTGCCCTACTGCCTGTTACGAAAGTGCCCTATCAGAGTTACAATAGTTCCCTACCGTTACAAAAGTTCCCTTCTTCGTTACTAAAGTGCCCGAGGTGTGTTACAAAAGTTCCCTTTTTACGTTACAAAAGTGCCCAATCCTCTGGCTCTCTCTCTCTCTCTCTCTCTCTCTCTCTCTCTCTCTCTCTCTCTCTCTCTCTCTCTCTCTCTCTCTCTCTCTCTCTCTCTCTCTCTCTCTCTCTCTCTCTCTCTAGAGGAAAAGTAGGGCACTTTTGTTACTTCTTTCCCTTTTGATAATAGCATTGTCAATTTAAAGTGGTAACTCGTGAAACTTAAACTATACACAGTTCACTTAAAGTAACATACGCATGTAAAAAGACAAATTCGAGCGTTAAAACAGAAGAGAAAAAGCTGCAAAGATGTCACAAAAAGGTTACAAAAGGGCCCTACATCGTGGTAGGTGCTTTTTAAAATGCTTTTCACTCCTTTTTTGCATATAATTGTAGCTATTACTTTACCATTTATACTCCATACGATTCCCTCGCTGGCCACAACACTTTAAACTGGAGATATCGAGGCCGGGAAAAAAACGCCGTGAACATGTTTGACTTTTCACGTCCATGAAAGGAATCACGATTCGGAAAAAGCCCATTTTTGAAATGGAAAGTTTCAAAACGTCAGTGTGACCTTTTGAACAATCAGCATCCGTAAAATTGTGGTGGAAGTTTAGTTAAGTCTATTGTTAATCTAATAAGCGAAACACAAAGTGAAATGGTTGTTTCCTTATTTTTGGTGATTTTTAAAGTTACTGATATCTCGAAAGTGGCCCCGTTACGAAAGTTCCCTTTTGCTAGAAGTTCCAGCAAGCAATTTTACCGTAATTTGTAAGAGATAAAAATCAAAAAAAAAGCAATCAATCTAAACACCACTAAAGTAGAAGTAAGTGGGCGAAAATACAGGTCCTTCCTTTAAAAAGTAAGGCGCTGGGCCAGCGGAAAGGTGTTCTAACCCCTTTTACGCATTTTGCGCTATTGGGTATACGGGTATATTGTTTGCGCAATTACAAGTAAATGCGTGATTCCTTTCCATCGATGAATTATGAAGTTGTTAAGCATGATGGAAATAACTTCAATCAAGAAAAAAAAATCATGTGTGGTCACTGGTGTCAAACATGCATAATGGAAAGTTATTCAATTTCAGCGCTTCTCTAAAGGCCCCGCCTTTATTGCGTAGTCAAATAGACTACAGGTTAAGGATCATTAAGGCTAGGCTCCAGAACCATTTGAGCTTCTACTTTAAGCCGCATGAATCTATCAAACGGGACAACGGTGGACAACGAGTTCTTTTATTTCAACGCAGGACACGGCATTGAGGGCACAGCGATAAGCAAGACAAAGTAGTACACAGCATTCCCGTAAGTCTTCATCGTCGTTGACAACGCTCATCATGGCCTATTCCGTTCATCTCGCAGATGGTCGCACTTACCAAAAAATCTCTTTGTTTTTCTTAACTCTGCTTTGTAGAGAAATTTTCAAAATGAAATTTAATGTAGGTGAGAACAGACGAATTTCCAGATCGGCTTCGCTTTAGACAAGAAGGGGGTT